CCCCCCTTCCCTCTCTCCCTGCATTTCTCTTGTCTCGTTGTATCGTTAGAATCACCAGACTTGCTGTTGTGAAACCCACCTATATTCTGCCATATTTACTGTCGGCGTTGATTGAAGTGTCCACCCAACCCCCATTATGCCTCCAGCTTGAGTAATCCTGCACCGAACAAATAAGTCGGCGTTCCGTAGACCATAGACCAAGTGTCATCGGACCCCTCTGTTTGGCCTTGAGGCAATTGTTTAAATAATCAGGCTGATTTAGCTGGCGATTTTCTTACCCTGGTCGGAAACCAGTACCGCGGTGTACTTTTTCTGTTGGATGTTAGTTAAACGATTCTTCCGTTGCCCTATTTTCTTAATCTTTCTTTTCGATTTTAACTTTTTTTTTAAAAACAAATGGTAAGCCATAGTTTTTGTTTCCGATCATGGTGCTTTTGGTTTTTGTGTCTGTGTGTGTGTTTACTGCTCTTTGTATGCGTGATGCTGCCCGTCTTTTGTTTCTGTCTGTCTTGCTTTTCCCAGCATTGCGTGCAAGTTGGAGGGTGGTTTGATGGCACTATTGGTAGCTCTTTATTTCTCTTTTCATGTATTATGTATATATATATATATATGTATATATGTTTGTTTTGTTTTGTTTTTTTGGGGGGTGGTTACTTCTGTTGTAACAACTTTAATATTTGGCTGTTATATGGCGTATAATGTGTGTTGCAAGTGCCACAAAACTCTTGCGGGTCATATGACCATATGCAGTTGCGAGCGCCGTAAAACCTCTACTAAAACAAACAAAAAACCCTTGCGGGTGCTCTGGTGTGGTTTGCTTCTTATTTAATATCAAACATATATCGTCCATATCTCCCCTCCTTTTTTATGTTTGTTACTCTCTTGTAACACCTCTAATTTTCTGGCGCTCGTATGACCGTATGCAGTTGCGAACGCCGTAAAACCTCTACTAAAACAAGATTTTTTTTTTAAACCCAACCCCTTACCAAAACTGTAAAACTGATCCAAACGATTCCCTCCCGTGTCCCCACAGACTGAGAGCCCGGCCCGCAAGCGCCGCAAGTTGGGCACCTCCCTGCAGGACCTGACCAACTCGAGCAGCCCGCCGCCCTACGGCACCCGGGCCAGCGGTCTGAGCAGCAGCACCGAACCCCTGCCCGCGCAGGACCGACGCCGGACGCTACCCGCACGACGCGCCTCTGGCGAGCGGGCCAACACACCTAGGCCGAGACGAAGGTGAGTCAGTTCGTGGTACCCTACATCATGTACATGTATATATTTAAATTATAATGTTAAAATTTGGACACTGTTCACGTGTACATGTCTTTGCTTCTTTTTTTTCTTTCTTTCTTTCTCTTTTTTTTAATATTTGCTCTGTTGTTTTTTCTTCTTTCTTTCTTTCTTTCTTTCTTTCTTGCTGTATCTTTTTTTCTTTCTTTCTTTCTTTATGTCTTGCTTTCTTTCTCCCCCCCTTTTATTCCTTTCTTTCATTTGGGTGGGTGGGGAGTGCTCTGGTGTAGTTTGCTTCATCTTTCCTATCAAACATGTCGTCCTTTTGTCTCCTCATTCTTTTTTTTGTACGTTATTCTCTTCTCTAACCTTCGGAACTTATAAGTATTATGACCTAGTTGTGTCGAAGTGCCGTAAAACTTTTACTAAAACTGAAGCTCTCCCTTTTTTCTTTCTTTCCCTCTCCTTTTTTCTCCCCCCTCTCCCCCTCT